AAATTTATTAAATCAATAAAATTAATAAACAATTAACGTTCAATAATAATATCGTTACAATATGCATTTTATTTTCGTAATTAACTATTTAATTTCAGAAAAATCTGTAAAATATCAAAATGTTTCATATGTAAATCTCAAATATACCATTATAATAATTTCATGAATATCTATGAAAATAAACAGAGATTTACAAAAATATATGCAAAAATTTTCGAAAATAAATAGAGATTTATGAAAATATATGCAAAAATTTTTGAAAATAAATGAAACAAAAAATTCCGGAGATTTACAGTTCAAAAATTTTTGAAAATTTTTTTGAAAATTTACGAAGGTATCATATAACTCTGAAAATTTAACGAGGCAAAAATTTTCGAAATATTTTGCCTTTAAAAATTTCCTGATGTAATCATCAATAAATAATTTAATTTTTTGATAATAGCCTTGTAATGAAATAGGTAAAAAATTATTTTTAATTCAATAATTTTCTAATTTTTGAATTATCCTGAATTTATATATTCCTTTATTATAAATTTCTTTTACAACTTTTTCACTTGTTTCAATTCTTGTTAACTTATCTTTTTTCTAGTATTTAAAATAAGTATGTAAAACCTATATCTCAAATAATCATATACTGTTAATTTTTTTTAATTATTTAAAATAATATATTCTAATTGTTGAAGTTTTAAATTAAAATTATTATCATTAATATTCATTTCATTATCTGTATCTTTTGATTCAACTGTTTCATCAATTGTTTCATTGACTATTTTATCAATTGTTTTATCAACAGTTTCATCAACAATTTTGTCAATTATTTCATTAACTTAATTTAAATTATCTATATCAATTAGATTAAAATAATTAAAAATTTTGATTTTTTACTTATATTTTGTGATATATTATTATTATTTTCATCTACAATATCTTTATTTTTATTTATTCATCAATTTTATCATTTATTTTATCATAACTATTTTCATTATTAAATTCATTTGTTTCTTTATAATTATTTTCATTTCAATTACTAAATTTATCTATTTTTATTTACTTGTTTTATTATCTATTTTGTCATATATACCTGTTTTATCATCAGTTTCATCATACCTCCCTTTCATTTTATTATTTTTATCTATTTCACCATTGATTTCATCTATTTTATTATTTTCATCTGTTTTACCATCTATTTTATTATTTTTATCCATCTCACTATTGATTTCATTATATACCTATTTCATCATCAGTTTTATTATACCTCCCCTCTATTTTATTATTTTTACCTGTTTCACCATTGATTTTATTATATCTACCCTCTATTTTATTATTTTTATCCATTTCACCATCTATTTTATTATTTTTATCCATTTTACCATCGATTTCGTTATATATATCCATTGTTACTATAAGTTTTTTCCATTTTAATAATTAATTTTTATTTTATTTTATTTTTTATTTGTATTTATTTTAATAGTATAATTATTTTGTATATTTTAATTATTATTTATAATTAGTATTTATTTATTTATTAGTGTAATATGAAATATGTAAATCAATAATGTAGATCATAGTGGACCAGTTACTGGTTAATTTACTGATCAATTTAGTGGCCAACTAATTGACCAACTTAGTGACCAATTAATTGATACAATTACTGGTCAAGATTTTAACCAACTTAATGATCAATTTATTGACTAAATCAAATATTATAAAAAGGGTGAGTTTTCTCTTCATTTCAAAAGAGATTCAATTAGTTTCGAATTAGATTTGAATAGTTCTAAATAGTGAATTTAAAAAGTAATCTCAATTGTAAATTAATTCTATAATTGAATTAATATTTTTATAATCTTAAAGTAACTGGATTATTAATTTTCTTCATAATAAACTTATATTTTCTATATTAAAACTTTGTTATTCTTTACTAAGTTATATTCTTCAAATATAAATTCTAATCCATAAATTTCTGTTACTATTTTATAAACCATTGATAAATACATTTAACCCTTGCTTAAATTCTTAAATCAATCTTTAAAATTTAACCATTAATTTAATTTCCGTGATTATAAATTCTTGAATCCTTTGATTAGTTTTTAGTATTTAACTTAAAATATTTCTTTTATTCTTTTTTTATTATCTTCTTTAATTTATAAACTAAAGTAACTGTTTACTATACATGTTGCCCAAATCCCAAATCATTTGGGATTTGGGACGCCAAAATCCCAAATTACTAGTATTTGGGATTTGGGATTTGGGATTTCGGCAAAAAATACTAATCATAATTTGGAATTTGGAATTTGGGATTTTGGCATTTGGGATTTTGGCATTTGGATTTTGAATTTGGGTGGCAGGTATACTGTTTACAAGTTGCTAATTGTTAATTGCCTTTTGGAAAATAAAATTAGTTTAAAAGGTCAACTAGTAATATCATTTCATCATCAATTTCTTTATATCTTTCCTTCATTTTATTATTTTTATTTGTTTCACCATCGATTTCATTATTTTCACATATATTAATTTCTATTTTATTATTTTTATCCATTTCATCACCTATTTTATTATTTTTATTCATCTCATTATCAATTTTATCATATTTTTTTTTTTTTTGTTTCAGTAAGGTCTTGTCTCAAATTTATTAACTAAAAAAAAAGAAAGTCTTTTACATTATTATTACATAATATAAAATACACAACTTATTCTAGTAACTATCAAAAGATGAAACTCAAACTAATTCAAATTGTCTATTCTAGAATAGATACGAAATGTACCTGTAACCTACCGCCTGTATCAATTTCATCATATATATACTTCATTTTATTATTTTTATTTATGTTATTATTTTTACCTATTTTTCTATCAGTTTTGTCATATATACCATCTATTTTATTATTTTTATCCATTTTACCATTGTCACTGGTGATTATACGTGTTGCCCAAATTCCAAATTATTTGGGATTTGGGATGCCAAAATCCCAAATTACTAGTATTTGAGATTTGGGATTTGGGATTTCGGCAAAAAATACTAATCATAATTTGGAATTTGGGATTTGGAATTTTGGCATTTGGAATTTCGGCATTTGGATTTTGAATTTGGGTAGCAGGTATACTGGTGGTTCCTGGTTTTCTCAAGAACCACCTGAGTAGAGTGACTTTACGGTTCTTTTAAGAAGTTTATAGTCCTTTCCCGAAGGTAAGACTGTTGTTTCATTATTTTAGAAGGTACCACTGATTCAGTTATTTTAGAAAGGGAATCAGACCTTTCAT